TATTTATATCTTATATCTTTATATATATTATATATAAATATTATACCATTTTATTTCATAAATGCAACTCGAGTTATTAATAAACGTGTTGAACATTTTTCTGGCTTCTGAAAGTGCTTTAAATATCCTTGAAAATCCTTTAAATTATCGAGTATCGATATTTATAAAAGTGTCACGATTAATCAGGTGGTTGGTCGTTTGGCACGCAAAAGTTCAAAGACGTGTCCTCGACGAGGTACGCAAGGCAGACATTCATCTACAGTGCCATTTCGTATCTGCGAGATCGAAACTTCGATGGCCTCGACATCGACTGGGAATATCCAAAAGGAGGCGATGACAAGAAGAATTACGTACTTTTGTTGAAAGGTAAATGATAAAATAAAACAACGATTTAAGTAATTTAGCAACAATCTGACACAGCATATTTGCAATGTTTATTAATCGGTTATTATTAATCGGTTATTATTAATCGAATTATTAAATTCGGAAAATAAATTCGAAAATTAAAATAATATTGTATTGATTCATACGCATGACAGAAGCAACACGGATTATTTGATGAACCTGACAGCTAGGAAAAATTAGGAACAAAATTCATACTTCAGATTTCGAACATTTTAAATATAATAATTTATTTATTTATGGTACTGATCCTCAATTAGTATGGTAAACAAATTTTTGAAGATTTTGAGATAATTGCAACTTTCCTTTTCTTTATTGTCATTCTTATTTTATTTATTATTATTATTATTATTATTTCTTGTCATATCAACAAAAGGTATGATATATTTTCCTGTGTACTATGGAATTATAGTAATTAGCGTATGCATATCGTAGGATAAAAAAGATCGAATGTCACTGATCTACAATTTTCTTGTTCTTAATACAGAGCTAAAATCGTAGGGTCCCTAGATTCAGTGGATCCATAGTCTTATGGAATTTGTAGACCCTGAGGTCACTGGGTTTGTGGAATTTCTAGACTTATAGGGTCTCTAGGCTTATGGGATCCCAAGACGTATAAAGTCCCTGGGCTCGAGGGATTCCAAGACTTATAGAATCCCTAAACTCACGAAGTCCCTAGATTCGTGGGATTGCTAGGCTCATAAAGCCCCTAGCCTCGTGGAATTCTTATGCTCATAGAATCCCTAAGTTCGTGAGGTTCCTAAACTCGTAAAATCCCTAAGTATTGTAAAGTCCCTAGACTCGTGATATCCCTAGACTCATAGAATCTCTATAGAATAACCCATATAAAACCCCATAGAATAAGCTTGTGAGGTCCCTAAACTCGTGGAATTCCTAGGCTCATAAAGTCCCTAGATTCGTGGGATTCTTTGGCTCATAAAATCCCTAGACTCGTGGGATTCCTGTGCTTATAAAGTCCCTAGAGTCGTGAGAGTCCTATGCTCATAGAATCTCTAAGCTCGTGAGGTTCCTATACTCGTAAAATCCCTAAGTTTGTTAGGTCCCTAGACTCGTGGTATCCCTAGGTTCATAGAATCCCTAAGCTTGTGAGGTCCCTAAACTCGTGAAATTCCAAGGCTCATAAAGTCCCTAGATTCGTGGGATTCTTTGGCTCGTAAAATCCCTGGAATCGTGGGATTCCTAGGCTCATACAATCTCTAATCTCGCAAAGTCCCTAGACTCATGAGATTCTTAGGCTCGTGAGGACTCCAGACTCGTGGGATTACTTGACTCGTGGGATTTCTAGGTTTCCGGGGTTCCTAAGTTCGCGGAATTTCTTAACTCATGAGCTTTCTAGAGTTGTAGGAATCCTACTCTCATGAGGTTCCTAAGTTCATGGGATTTCTAAAATCATAGAGTTTCTAGGCTCGTGAGATTTCTATACTCCTGAGTTCTCTAAGCAACCGTCTAGAATATCCATGCATCAAAATGACCCTGGTGTATAATTAAAGTTACTTCGTGATCCTTTCTAGGTGACAGAATGACTCCTTTGCTTTTTCTTCTTCTTTATAAGATTGCATTTAATTCGTTTATGTTTCTAGAGCTTCGAGAAGCATTCGAAGCAGAAGCTCAAGAAAAGAAAATGCCAAGACTTCTTCTGACAGCTGCTGTACCAGTTGGGCCTGACAACGTGAAGAGTGGATATGATGTACCAGCAGTCGCAAGGTAAACTACAACGAGATTAAAATCTCTTACAATTTTTCACCAAATAAATCTATCACTTTTCAATCCATTATTCATCATGCATCACAATTACTTCCGTATATTTTGCATTTTAGTTGCAAATTTGATCAACAATCTTATCGTTATAGTAACATAATGATAATAATTTTATCATTATACTTCACTTATACTGCAAAATCTTTTACAATGTTTATCATTGCAAAGGACCAAAGAATACGTTTGAGCATAAAATTACCTGTAATCATCCAATATCGATCACTCGATGCATGCTAAAGCTGGCTATAGTCGTATAACCTCGAGTGCTCGCTGCATACTAAAGGCAACTATAATCATCCAATGAACGAGTGCTCGCTATACACTAACGATAATTACAGTTACTCAACACTGTGAACTCCTCGTATACTAGAGGTAACTATGATCACCCAACGCTGAGTGCTCGCTGTATGTTAAAGGTGACTATAATTACCCGGTGTTGAACTCAGCAACTCTGTTATTAATTCAGACCCCTGTCTTATTTAATTAAAATTTGATTACAATTTCACAAGAATTTGTTCATAACACATGATATATTGCTTGAAAATATCCTAATCCTTTCCACTCAGCAACTCTCAGCAATTTCGTGAATCTAGCAAACAATTCGAATGTCCCTTCTAAAAGATCATGGAAAGATTAGTATCATTCATGCAGGTCAAAATTAGCCAAGATTTATCAAAAATATATTGTAGAGATAGATTTTGGGGGTGGTATATATATTTATTTAATAATAAAATAACAGTGATAGAGTATGTGAGGAACGATAAAGGTACGAATTATTACAACTTATCACAACGCTCAACCTACACTTCTGCAGCAACTCTTCTATTACAACTCACAATTGTTAACAATGGTTGTTAGCATGGTCCCATTAGTTTCTATCTGCAGGCAACTTGCAAGGCATTTGCTTTGATATTTCAGACTGACGGTGCTGCCAACTATCGTCAATATTGTTATTGGTTATCTCAGAGACATATCATTAAGACGTATACTTCATTACGTCTCATTCTTATTATTATTATACTTCATCTTGTGAAAAGACTGAAATTTGGTACAATTTTTTGGTAAATATATTAGATTTTATTACACCTGAAAATTATACGGGCCCATAGAGGACTAAGTTAAGATCATGCTATTATGCGTTCGAGAAAAGATGGCGCACAGCGTGTTTACATCCTCACGACTGATTGACTCCGTTGACACTCTCTAGATTACAGGCATTGACCACTATTAGCCGAAAATGGTGACGAAGATCATCGGCAGGTCATAGTGAAACCGAGTGAAATAGGATACGACGGCATTGGCGTAGTCTTCGAAGCTATTAACACTATGCCGTCGGCACGTCTAATCGGGATTCTTTCGTTTGATGCCGGTAGGACTGACGCATCATTTGCGCATGATACCAACGTGGTGTCACCGGCATTTGCCCGATAGTTTTCGCAGGACACCAACGTGGTGCCACCTGACGGCATAGTGTTAAGAAACAGGAAACTAACGCCGTTGCTGCCATATCCTATGTCACTAGGTTTCACTAAGGCCCGCCGATGATCTTGGTCGCCTTTTGGCCAATAGGTCACTGCCTGTAATCGAGAGAGCGTCAGCGAAGTCAGTCAGCCGTGAGGATGCAAACACGCTGTGCCATCTCTTCTCGAACGCATAATACCTCGTAATCTGGATTAAATCTAACTACTAAGTGCCACTATGTCGTCTCAGTTATCTAGATTTCATCAACCTAATGGCGTACGATTTCCATGGGAAATGGGAACGGGAGACTGGTCACAATGCACCCTTGCACGCCTCGTCGCTGGACTCCGAGTGGCAGAAACAACTGAGCGTGGACAACGCTGCTTCCATGTGGGTCCGTCTGGGCGCCCCTAAGGAGAAACTGATCATCGGCATGCCGACCTACGGCCGATCCTTCACTCTCTCGAACGCGGCCAATTTCCGTGTTCATGCACCTGCCAGTGGCGGTGGGAAGGCCGGCGAATACACCAAGGAATCCGGCTTTCTTGCCTATTACGAGGTACTCGCGATCTCTCACGCCTGCACGAGAGCCTTGTTCGTCCAACATGCCACTTTGCCATCACTCGTAAACGTAAATTGACATTCAATTTTTTCTCCTCGGCTGCACGATTAGGCGGTTTTCCGCGTTTCTCGCGGTCAGCAAGAATGAAGAAAGTGGATGAGCAATTTGATTGGTTCTTGGTTGATTTTAGGTCGGTGGTGAATGACGCTGATTGCTGGGCTGAGTGATCTGTGGGTCAGTGAAGAGCGTGAATTTATACGAATGTTCGAAGTTTGATTTATTGTTAGATCTTAGTGTTGCGATTAGGGCAAAAAATGTTAAGAGGTGTGAGTAATTTCATCTGCCTTAAGTGTGAGTCTGGCCTATGACTCTTGCAGCTAGATTACGACTGTTATTTGTGGAACTTCAGGTCTAAATATAGTCTTCCTCGTCATTGACAGGAACTGATACCTGTTTACGTCTTGTTTTTATTTAGTCTTTCTTGGAATGATATAATCGAAGAATTTATGGAACGAGGAGATATTTTCCAGTCGAATTTCTTGAAATTTACGAGACACTTAAGGAATTAACACTTTACTTTGTTGTGAATAATGACTTGTTCGATCATAGTTATTGACATTAAATAGATTATGTGAGTCAAGATGATTGGCTTTCTGCCACTGTTACTGAGAATATGCAGTTGTTTTTAACAAGATTAATATTGACTTTTAATGAGATAGAAACGTAATTATTCACAGTGTGAGTCTAACTCTCACCTAACTCTATTACTTGAATTTACTTGTAAATTTGTATGTATAATTTATTTTATATTAATTGTTTGGCTTTTATTAAACAATATACAAACATCATATTCTAGAACGTTTAAAGCATGATTTCAGAACTACATTCAATGTGAGTCTATGATTATGAATGATTTAAATCATATGTATTTTGTCCAAAGATATTACAAATTTTGTACTTACATAAACTCAAAGTACTGTGCGTGACTCGCAAGGAGTCTCTTAAGACGCCATAGGGACAAAGGAAATAAGTCGATTGCTCCATCTGTTCATATCAACAGATCTCATTGGTAGCTGTTTCAACAAAGACACTTAGACAGTTAATATAATTATTGTCTGCTGAGCTACTCCAGGTCAAGTATCTTCATCTCTCAAACAGAAGAAGACCAAGAAAGGAACCGATATTTAAGAATAGTCTAAACCTAATTGAGTTAAAAGAACCTGATCTAAGGATAATAGATCAGCGATGACATGTCACATCTAGAAGTCAATGAACTGTGAACTTGCCAATAGGTCGTCCCTTCCACTCTGACCAATTAGACCTGCATTCCTTCTAACAGACACCTTGCGGGGTGCTCGCAGTAGATACGACATTGACACCGATACCTGTAAAATACAATTTCAAACTGAGTTTCAATCTGACCTAACCTGAAATTTCAAATTGGCTTTTTATATTTTGACGAATATGATCATTGGGTTTAAAAAGAAGAAGTCAGGAATAATTGTTTCTGTGATTCCTCAGATCTGCGAGATGTTGCGAAACGGAGGTGCCTATGTCTGGGATGACGAGATGAAGGTACCATACATGGTGTACAATGACCAGTGGGTGGGCTTCGACGACGAGAAATCCATTCGATTGAAAATGGATTGGCTGAAGAACAAGGGCTACGGTGGCGCCATGGTGTGGACGGTGGACATGGACGACTTCAACGGCACTGTTTGCGGCGGAAATGTCAGGTACCCCTTAATCGGAGCAATGAGGGAGGAATTGCTCGGAATTTCGAGGGGCTCGAGCGCCAAGGACATTGATTGGACGGCTGTGGCTAGCACCGTGTCTGAGAGCATATTGAAGAAACCTGAACCGTACAAGATATTGGTCTCGGATGTCATTAACAAGGCGAAGAAAGTTCAGAAATCAACGAGCCAGCTCGTCATTAATCCTCCTACTAATGGTAAGGTTCTCTCCTTTTTAAATTTTTAATAAAAAAAAAATGCAAGAATGTTAGAAGCAAAAAATAGTAGAATACTGATTTATACAATTAATAATTAATATTATTATTATTAAATAAATTTTGACTGAAAAATTGTCGATCTTAAAGTAGCTCTAACTTTATTAAAACAAAAATCGTAAAATTTCTAATTTCACATTTTTGGGTTGAACCTTTAAACAGCTTCTTATTTTAACACACAGGATGAGAAACTAAAGGTACCTGTTTTCTTAAAAATTTTTACTAATTCAAACGTCTTCATGATCCTTGGAAAATTTCTATCGAGATTCCTTTTGCAGTAAATTTATAGGAGAGTCTCCTCTTCCTAACTACACGTTAAAAATTCATATACGATTTTTTTCGCATTTTCATCGCACTTTTTGAGAGCATATCTTTATTTAGTTCAAAAAATTGATTTCTTTTAATTCGTTTATTTAGATTCCATATTTCTAGTTCCATAATTTATGAAATTATAATCGAGGAATTTGAGCAATAACTTGTGCCTCCTAAAGTTAAAAGAATTAAATTCTCAATTGTTATCAGGGAATATAAAATATTTGTCTAAGCAAACTCATTGTTAGAGCAAAGTATATATGCATATAAGATGGCGCTCCTACTCCTCCTCAGTGTTTCATATCCTTCATCCTAATCCTTCATTAAGGATGACTCAGGCAGAGATTCTCTGGAAACTGTTTACCCTGTGTTGCATACTGCAATGTTCCTTTCATCATCTGACAAAGAGTATTAACTTTGTTGTGCGAGTCTCGGTAGTCAGTTATTGATGTACATTTGGTAAACGCGTGGTTCCAATATCCTAGCTAGCCTAAGGATTATCATAAACCCGAAGACTCGTAGCAGCTGTTAATCCTTTGGCATCCCCAGATGAGATACCTTGCGAGATGACACCTTTTATGAGCCAGTACCTCTGATCAGAACCGATTGATAATATTTAACATATTATTATGTCAATCACGCCAATCACTATCATTCGATAATGACTACCATTCAGCATATGAATCGTTCACTGCACAAATCGATTAACTCCACTTTTTGAAAAATCTTAAATTTAAGTGTCAAAGCACTTGGTATAGTCGTAACTTTTTATATTTATAATAACTTTCCCTGATAATTAAGATTAACACCATTAAACGACAAAAAATTTTTGGCCACTGAATAACAAATAATTTATTTCAGAGGTTACTTAGATTAACTCCGTACTCTAATGTAAATCGTTGCAATAATGCAACTCAAATGCACTAGCAAGCCATGAATGACAACGGTGAATTTTTTAGTACCGTCTTATCAGAATTTAAGTAAAATTTAGTAAAATTTAAATTGATTACTTTTTCACTTGCCAAATCGATTAACTCTTCCTGTAACATAAAAATGGTAACATTACTAACGATTACCTTTTGGCTATTTTTTCTTATAAATTTTATATACCGTTAGATGAAAGGTACATTTGTATTTATGCATTCTACGATATTTATTTCGATTTAAATTATAAAGGGAATTTTAAAAAACAATATACATTATTTCATTGCATTTCTCTACTTGTTTCTCCACCTAACCTAACCTAACCTAACCTAACTTTTAAGAAGTAGTCTTTAAGTAACTTCTGATTGGCCTGAACTAACCTATTACACGTGTATTTTCCCATTTCATGTATGTACCTTTGTACTGGGATAGGAAGATTCCAGGTATTTTTCTTTTGTGAAATGAGACAAATTTTCAGTTAGCTAAAGCTGATTTAATTAATTCCTATTTGCAGAAAGAGCAGCCCAATCTATGTGTTACTTGACGAATTGGTCGCACAGAAGACCTGGATCTGGAAAATTCCTACCAGAGGACATAGACCCTACTCTCTGCACTCATATAGTCTACTCGTTCGCGACCTTGAAAAATTACCTGCTCGCGGAAGAAACTGAAAAGGATGCCGAAATGTACGAACGCTTGATTGCATTAAGGAACAAGAATCCTGATATTAAGGTATGGTTTTTTGATAGATACGATAAGGAAAAATTTATCTATAAGAGATAGAATAGTAATTGTAGAAAAATTACAAAAAATTATTCGTTATTCTAGATATAAATGAAACTATAACTATAACTATAATTTATTTATTCTGTAATAAATACATATATAAGAGAAAGTGTTAAGATTTATAAATTATGTGATTATTAATTATTACATCTTTAAATACATTTTCTATAATTGTTAATAGCCATTTCCTTTTACATTAAAACATATTTGCAACAACAAATACGTATTTGATAAAAAGGCTGTGACTTTTTACATGTATATATATTTAAATAACTTAAATCATAAATAATTACTCGAAAACTATATTATAAATAATTTTCTCCCTTGTATTAAGTGACTTTTCAAAAATCTGTTATTTAAACTTTTCCTATTATTTATACAAAATATTAAAAATATTTGAATGAAAATTAAAATAAACGGAAATACTTATTAACATAAAATTATGTATGCATTGATTATGTTAGAAATAATAACATTGCAGATATTATTGGCAATCGGTGGTTGGGCTTTCGGATCAACCCCATTCAAGGAACTCACCAGTAACACTTTCCGTATGAATCAATTCATATATGAGGCCATCGATTTCCTCAGAGAATACAAATTTGACGGTCTAGACGTCGATTGGGAATACCCACGGTAAATTTCCAAAAATAATTTTTTCACCTTTATGTTCTTCTATTTTAGTCCTTTTTAACCCTCTATAACCCTCCTTTCTCCTTTCTCCCTCTACATTGAAAAAGAAATTTCCATTGGTTATAGTTTCTCAGTCAAATGAATAAACTAAAATCCAATAACTGGTATAATATAATAATATAATAAATAAGTAAAATATTAGTACAAAAAATAAGTATAAATTAAAAAAATTAACAAAATATTGTGCTAAAACAACGTATAATAACAAAACAAAATATAACAAATATTAACCCTTTGCACTCGACGATTTTTTGGATACAAAAATTCAAAGATTTTCTGTTACAAAGCTGACAATATTTTTCTGAGCAGTGAATAAGAAGTCGTATAATAATTAATAATTAACACTTCTCGAGTACAAAGGGTTAATTAAAAGAATTTTTAATATATATCAGCATAAATAGGTGAACAATAATTTTAACTATTGCTTCATATGGTGTTATAAAGGGTTTAATAAATTTATGGAATGAGATATTTCAATGAAAATTGTTAACAGGGGTGGTGATGATCGAACAGCCTATGTGAATCTTCTGAAGGAACTTCGACTTGCTTTCGAGGGCGAAGCAAATAGTTCTGGACAACCAAAATTAATCTTATCAGCCGCGGTACCAGCTAGTTTCGAGGCTATTGCTGCAGGGTAAGTTTCCAATATTAAGTTTATTTAATAAAAAAAAAAAAGAGGACTCCTTTTCCTAGATAATTTATGCATAATTTGTAATCAACTTTAGGTACGATGTGCCAGAAATATCCAAATATTTGGACTTCATTAACGTGATGACATACGATTTTCATGGCCAATGGGAGAGGCAAGTTGGTCACAATAGTCCTCTGTTTCCCCTAGAAAGTGCTACAAGTTACCAGAAAAAACTGACAGTGGTAAGTACAGAATTGCAATGAAAGTTACTTTCTTTTACAATTTCATAAAGTCTGACGTCATTTCTTAATTTAATCGGTAAAATAATTTTCTAAAATAAATATCAAAACTGTATAAAAGATATGAAACTTCAAATTTTATCAAAATTAGTGTTAGATTCCTCGAAAATCTGAAATTCAAGACAGTGTCGAATTTCAAAAATTCGAAACTTTGCCCTCTTTTATGACTAAAAATTTTGGAAACCCACATAAAAAAAATAAAATCAACGAAAATAAAAAATTGTCTTCAATCACTCCTAATTATAAAAATTTTGGAGACACATTTATCCTGAATATTCAAGGTTTTGAAATTTAAAATATGAGTAGGTTAACAAATCGTGATTATAAAAATTTAGGTTGAGAAAATGTGATTTGTGGAAACCATATTCTTGTCACGAATGAAAATTACTATTTCAAGTTTCGAAAATTTTAAATTTCAAAAATGTTAAGAGTTTCAAAATCGTATAAAGTTTCAAATTCGAGTTTTAAAAATTTAAGTATTTAATTTCGAATATACCTTTACTACTAACTAAAACCACATACGAAAACCATAGGATTATAGCGCGAGGGAGTGGGTGAAACAAGGTGCTCCAAAAGAGAAGCTAATGATCGGTATGCCGACTTATGGCAGATCTTTCACGTTAGTGGATAAAGAGAAGTTTGATATTGGAGCACCAGCTTCAGGTGGAGGAACAGCTGGAAACTTCACCAATGAATCCGGATTCCTCTCATACTATGAGGTATATAGCAGATCTAACTTAGTCCAGCTACTTCTAAAACACTTGATATTAATGAGAATGAATCAAACATTACCAACTAATCGAATGTATAGATTTGCAGCTTTTTGAACGAAGAGAATACTACTCTAGTCTGGGACAGCGAGCAGCAGGTACCTTTCGCATACAGAGATGACCAGTGGGTTGGATTTGATGATGAAAGGAGCCTTATAAATAAGGTGATGTTGACATTTTCCTTTGCAAACCAACAAAAAAGTATCGTTAAATTCGTTCCTTCATCACTTATAATGCTACAAAGACTAAAATACACCTTACTATTTAAAAAAGTCGAGATAACCTCAATCTTTTATTGAATAAAAAGATTTTTCGAAATTTTTACTATTGTATTTTATTATCACTGAAATTTCAAATAATTTTTATTGGAAACTTTTTTTAATCAAATAAACATAAGTGCCTGAAAAATTGTGATAACAGTTACAATGGACACCCTTTATGTATTATACATATATATGCAATTATTAATAATTCTTAAAATAATATATACAAAGCATTATATATATTTTTTTTTAAATAATTAATAATTGTATTAATAAATGTAGTACTATAATATTAAATATATACCTTTAATTATATTAGATGCAATGGCTCAAAGATGAAGGCTTTGGAGGTATAATGATCTGGTCAGTGGATATGGATGACTTTAGGGGATCTTGCGGGGCTGGCAAATATCCATTGATAAAAGCTATGATGAAAGAGCTACGAGACTACAAAGTGAAATTGGAATACGACGGTCCTTATGAATCTCATTTGAGAAATGGGAGGTACACCACCAAAGATCGTAAGTATTTAGAATTTTCTAATTAAATAATTAATAATTTTATTAATAAATGTAGTACTATAATATTAAATATATACCTTTAATTATATTAGATGCAATGGCTCAAAGATGAAGGCTTTGGAGGTATAATGATCTGGTCAGTGGATATGGATGACTTTAGGGGATCTTGCGGGGCTGGCAAATATCCATTGATAAAAGCTATGATGAAAGAGCTACGAGACTACAAAGTGAAATTGGAATACGACGGTCCTTATGAATCTCATTTGAGAAATGGGAGGTACACCACCAAAGATCGTAAGTATTTAGAATTTTCTAATTTAGAATTTTGCACTATTTTTGCACATGTATAATTTCTTAATTAAATTAATAGATGTTTCTTATTTTAACACAATGGCTATTAAATGAATCTTACGTACCTTACTCACATTCATTACAGCATTCATTTATTTTAATAGTATACACTGTGACATGAGTACTAAGTAATATATTAATATAGTCATATATTATTTACATAACATATGTCTGATTAAAAAGATTATTTATATGCCTTAAAGGGAATCTTAATATTTTACATTGTCATATTAAAATTGAGAAAATAAAAAATTTTGTAAATAGACTTAAAACAAAAGGAGCTATAAATTTTTCTAGAAAAAAGTAAATGATATGTGTGAAAATGTTAGGACTTTGTTTCACTATGTTCCTAAACCAATTTGTGATTGTGATTGTTCAACATTAATGCATTATGAAATTTTGTATGTATCATAACAAAATGCACAGTTTCCTAATCATTTGTAACTATATCTAAATATTGAATAGATTATATCTAAATTAAAAAATAAAATTCCCATAATATCATAAAAATGAAAAATAAAATCATGTTTTAAGGAGAGAAGTAAATATAAAATATAGCTACTGTATCAAGAAGATATATAGTCGCCGCTATCGGTGTCATATAACGTCATTGCAAGTTACAATATCGATTACATGTTGATTAGTAAACAATATATTAATACACAAAATATCTGGTTATTCGCCAGTCTTCTTAAAGTAAATAATTAAGTTTGTAAAATGAAGAAATAATATTCCACAAACGTGATCTACATAAATTTGGAAAGAAACAAACAAAAGTGTCGATGTATAACCTCACTGAATAGATTTACTAAAATATATACTTACATTAGTCATTTTAGTAAATGCATTACAAATAAATTCATTTTGGAATTGTAAAATCTTCTACGCAAAGAAAATATATTAGGAAATAAATCAATAAATAACTGTACAAAAAATTCATACAAAACAACGAAATTTTAGCAAATTTTACGTTAATTAAAACTATTTCTAATTGTTAAAAAATATAAATGTTATGCACCACTTCATTTTAATTATTAAAAAAGAAACCTACCTAACATATTAATTATTTTAGCGAACGAAGTGAGCTGTGATGAGGAGGACAACCATATATCTTATCATCCCGATAAGAACGATTGTACCATGTATTACATGTGTGAAGGCGAAAGAAAGCACCATATGCCCTGCCCGGTGAATTTGGTATTCAACCCTAATGAAAATGTCTGCGATTGGCCTGAGAACGTAGACGGTTGTGTGCAACACACGCAGGCGCCACCTGTGTAAAGAGAAAGGAAACAGAAAGGAAAGAGACAAAAATTACGCCTATTTAAGAATATTCTGTGGTTCGCGGTTGTACTGTAAAATGCGAAAACATACGTGCGACGTAACGTTGATTAAAAAGTCATTCGAAATTCATCGAAGAATACGATAATCACCAATCGACGAGAAGTTTTGTTGTCACGAAATCTCTTTTCATTCGAAAATTTTAATTGCTCCTAATTTCAATTTCCCTCTTCCTTTTCCTCTAAAGTTTTGATTTCTCTTAAACTCCTTTTATTTCCCTATTAAATGTCTATCTATCTATCTATCTATCTATCTATGTTTCTCCATTTGTATAAACCGCGCACTATGTCCAATTATTGCGACAGATACGTTTTGTAAATAAAAAGATATAAAATTCTCCGAAAAAAGAATTCATATCTCGCTTGTAAGTGTAATAGCGACAGAAAGTAAATTGTACGTACTATTAACTAGTAGATCTTCGTTTTATTTTGTAACTTTACATAAAAAAAAATCATAATTTGTTGTTCGTACGGTTTTTTGTATTTGGTCACAGTTCAACCCTGTATTTTTCTTTTTTATTATTTTCATTTTATTTGAAATAAGAATAGGAATCCAAAGCAGTAACATGAAATTTAACAATAATTTTTTGGTTATTCATATCTAATCAAAACATGGGATATCAAGAGTAACAGAAATACTCAATGTATATAACTTTTATTAATTATTTCAATAAGGCATTTATTTATCTTTTAATTGTTTTAAACTTTAAATTTCAATTCACTTTGTAATCATTAAAATTTTTTCTGATATATTTTTGATATTTCTATTGTTTAATTGTTATTATGTATACAGGAATCTGGTACATTAAAAACAATACATATGCAGAGTGGTTAAGAAATAGAGTACTCAAATACACAATTCTTTCAGATTTTTAAGTTTGAATAGATTGTTCATTTAGAATTTGAGTTATATATATTATTATTTGTTCAATTTGAGGTTTAATAATTTTTACTACCAGCAGTTTTATGAAAAAAATATGTTTTTCCTAAACAAAATATTGAATTTAATTAAATTATAATAATACTTTAAAAAACTTTTTAAATTCTGAAAAATTTATTTGTCAATTTAATTTGACTATTAAAACAATGTTAATTTATTTAAAGTAAGTTTCCATAACTTCAATCTTTAACAAGATTGATTCATTAAAATCATTTATAAAATATTAGTTATAAAAAATTCTTTATTTTTTAAACAAATATTAAGTAGTAACATGATGAATAAACAGCTAATATTGAATTTGTCACTCATAAATATAACATCATTTGTGCGCATGTCTTCTTACTAATATAAATTGACAGTTCATAATGGTAACTATGGAGTCAAAGATTTATAAAATGTAACAATTTTCTAAAAACTATTATCACTATAAGAGTATGGTAAAAATTTTAAAAACATCAGTGTACAAAAGTATGCAACCTCTATTCCTTTTGCAAATGCTATAATAATGTAATTGATATGATTATTGTAGAAAATTGTGGAAATAGATATTGAAATTATAAAAATAACTGTAATTAATTTCTACATAAATATTTCACAATGAATAATGTCATAATTAGTACAAAATAAAAATAAATCTAATAATAACCACAATATGAATTTCATATTGGCTTCAATCTTAATTTTTTAAAGAAATTGTTTAGTATACCTTACAAATATAAATATTCTTACAATTATCTTAAATGATCTTATCAAATCATTCAAGAATCAAATTTAAAACTATATTAATCATCAATTCCTATATGAAATATGTATTTGAATAAAAAATATTTGAAAGGTGATGAATCAATAATCACCTTTTCATTCCATCATACATTAAACAATTTAGTAGGCCACTATTGTTAGGAGCATAATGTCCATTAAAGCCAACCAGGTGGTGGCCAGTCTCTCATAGTTACCAGAGCTAAGGGCAGAGGCTTGACAGGCAGTGTGAGGGGTTCCTAAGGTCAATAAAACTTTGTCAGAAGAATAAGATGGGGTAGTCTCGGTACAAACGGCTCTCCCAGCAATGGTTCTCAACTGCCGGGCATCTGATTGAGAAGCTGTGTGGATTTGTCGAGATTCTCGAAGCCATCTTCGCAACCATAAACTAAGCCAAGCGATCTCGCAATCGCATTCTAAAGGGTTTCCCGATACCTGTAAACCTCCTAAAAAATAATAATAGAATTGTGTCCTTTTGTCCTTGAATAATTAAATTTAAAAAATAACTTTTCCTTAATGATCATAAGAATTTTGTTTAAATATCTAATGAATTTTCTTTGGTTTGTAAAAATTTTTCTACTTTTTAGTACATATTATAGTCAATTTATTATTATCTAAATTTATTTATGTTGAAAGATAAGTTATTTTTATTTATTATGTAATTGATGGTCCATAAGATGTTTACAAGTTCTATAATATAACAGAGTTGACTCCTTGATTAGTACATATGTGCACAAATTTCAATATACTTAATTACTGAATAATCACTTTACTCACCAGCAACCATATTGGTACCAACACTCTCCCATGAAAGGTTTCCATAAATAACCGAAGGACTGAGTTCATTTATATGATTGTTCCTCAAATCCAAAGTCAATTGTGAAAGTCTCTTTGTCAGGGATAGAAACATATCTGACTGCAGCCTGCGAACTCGAGTGTCCCTGATTCTCAATATCAGTTCACCACCTTCAATAGTAGAAAATGCTTCTGAGGAAATAACTTCAAGATCACTTCCAGAAATAGTCAATTCTCTCAACTGCTTCGTAAAAGCATTTTGTATTTGATGTTCCAGCAAATGTTCTGTCACTTGAATCTCCACAGTTCTTAGAGGTAATCCAGTTAATAAATCTCGAAGATGGAAACCATCTGCTTCAGGCCATGTCTGAATTCGTAGATGCTTCAGGTATTTTAAAATACGTAGACAATCTTTGTCTACTGATCTGGTTTTATTTAAATTTCTTAGATTCAGCTTCTCCAACCTTGGATATCCCAGAAAACTTTCCTTTGTCAACTCCTAAATTGGTGTTTTAATTGTTAGTTTAACACTGTTAGCTTATGTTAAACATATATTTTAAAATATTATATGTAGTATATTATATATTATATATACAGAAAAAATGTGTATAGAAATAATATATATAGAAATAATTGATATAAGAGTAAATATAAAAAAATATCAAAACGATTATCATTGCTTATCATACATACCAGTGGTTCTCAACCGCGTGGTATATTTAGAACTGGTAGTTCATTTCCAAGTGATACATGAGTTGAACCAAATTATTTATATAAAATTTTGTTAATTACGTACAATGGAGTATAGTGCAATGAACAGATACCTACAAAGTGGTACGTAACTTGATCATATTCTGGTTGATGATATGCAAAGAAAAAAGGTCGAGAACCGCTGGTATATATTATTGACAGTATAAATGATTAAAAACAACAATCAAACAACTCACCTCTATTGGATTTCCCGACACATCGAGTTCCCTCAGAATACTCAACTTCACATTCGGCATAGAAGTCAACGAGTTATTCACTAACCACAGAATTTTTAAATCTTTCAAATACTGGAACTGCTTGTCAGATGTCAAATCAATGTGATTCAAAGACAGGTCTAAGACATTTAAATTCGTCAATGGGAGAAGAGGTATATCCCTAAGGCCACAATTAGCCAAAAACAGTTGCCTCAATCCAGGCAAATAATGGAAAAGCTCCTTAAAATTCGCTTGAAGAACGTTCTGCGACACGTTGAGGCTCAAAAGCTTCCCCAAAGAGACGAACGAATTGTCTGGCAGAATCGTTAGCCTATTGTGTGCCAAATTTAGGGAGACCAATTGCGAAGTTGGAAAAGCAGTTGAGTCTAAGTGGTCCACGAAATTATCTGCCAAATTGAGATCCCTTAGAGTGTAGCCAACCTCGAGGAAAGATGGCGACGGTACCACGGTGAACTTATTGCTGCTCAGGTCCAGGATCTCTAATTTCGTTCCTTCGAAAACGTCTTTGGGTAGAGATCTTATCTTATTCGCAGACAGGTTCAGGATTCGTAAATTCTTCAGATTGCGAAATTGCTCCGTGGGCAATTGGGTGATCTGATTCCCACTTAGATCTAACTGTTGTAGCAGTTCTAAGCAGTGAAAAGATTGCCTCCTTAAGTTTTCTATCTTATTGTTCCGTAGATTCAACGTCTCTAGACGTTTCAATGTGAAGGTACCTAGAATGATTTATATAGTGCCTTTAATTAAATAGAAGAGACTACAAAGTAATTTTTAGTTCGAATATAATTAATAAATTAAAAATAGCTAACACTGGAACTATCAATCAAAGTAACTGATCTTAGACTCTTGTTTTTACAGTTACAAAGATCACGATCACAAGGATTTGAAAGATTCCAAGCATTTGAAACATAGACGACTATTAGACGTCAAGACAGAGATTGACAATCATCCTGACATGTCATATCGTTCCTTTGAAACACTTCTCACAACTAATCTCTATGTTACTCACACAGGAAACTGGAAAACGTTAATATTATGATAAAATATTCCACCTGGTTCAAGAACAGAGATGAAATTGCTCTGGAGATCCAAGCTACTCAGTCCAGGCGTCCCATAAAACGCATCCGCCGGTAAGTGACTAATATTATTGAAGCTCAAATCCAATCTCGTCAAATTATTCATCAGTCCCCCAGAATTTATGATCGAAATCGCATTATAGGACACATTGAGAGCAAACTCCGGGCCACCGATCTCCGATATCGCATCCAGGTCTAGAACCGTCAATTTGTTGAACTCCAAATGCAGGAAATGTAAACTGGGCAAACCGTAGAAGGCATTTTTCTCCATTTTGACGATCCGATTGTAAGCCAACGATATTGTGATCAATTTCGGGCAATCCATGATGGAGTCCGAATTGAGAAACTTTATTCTGTTCCCAGTCAAGTCTAAAGACATTAAATCGGTCAGATTGTGGAAGCTAAACTCCGGTATGGCCTCGAGGAAATTGTAACCGAGTTTCACGTCTCTCAACTCGGGATGCACACTGGATAGGAATATTCGTTCCGGCAGATAGTGAAGTCTGTTTGATTCCAGATTGATGTAGCGCAGTTGCTGGAACGAGTAGAACGCAGTGGCGTCGATAGTCTGGAAGTTGTTGTTGTCTAGGACCAGCCAGAGAAGATTCGACAGGGGCCTAAGTGCCCTCTGAGGAAACACGTCAGTCGCGAATGCGAAGCTCAGTTCGAGGATCTCGAGGCTCTCTTCGATGCCTATGAAGCAATCCTCATCGAGCTCTGTTAGGTGGTTGAAGGACAAACTGAGCTGCTTCAGCTTTTCTGAAAGCATTAATTTGAGATTAAGGATTTTTGGGGAATTTATTACAATGTCACGCAGAATATTTATTCGATATTGACATTTTTCGTTGCATATGTAATAGAAGGTCTGATTGAATTTGGTACTGACTTTCTTTTGGACATGTCTCATTGCAAGGTTATACAAAATGTTTCTTAGTTTCGTATTTTTTATTGCAATCTTACATTTACATTTTACATTTTAGAAACATAGTACACAAAAATGTATTTTGCAAAATGGACATAAACTATATGAAGCAATAAAATGAGAGAAAATATGCATCAAGGTCAAGAAGATAAAATTCAGGAGTATAAATAACTGCAGTAGATGAATTTAAACTTACTTGCTCCTTTGAAGGTTTCATTTTTGAGTTTCGTTAAAACGTTGTTCCTGAGCAAAAGGATTTCCAAGTCCTCTGACCACTCGAAGTCACCTGGCTGAATATGAGAGATTTTATTGTAGCCCAGATTGAGTTGCAGTAGCCTTTGACACCTGTTTCATGAAATACCAAACGTGGCTATTCATCTTCATTTATTTTTATCTATATTTGTATTTAATATGTTTGTAGAAAAATTTTCCAGGATTAGTGGAAAAAAGCAAAAAAAGAAAAGAATAATTCTGCAATTAAACAGAATTGAATATTTTGTATTCAATATAAAAAGTAAAAAGTACATAACATAAATATTAAAACATCTAACTATAAAGATAATATATGTAATACAAACAAAATAAAGTAAAAATACATACTAAAATATTCTGCAGTAACATATACGTGCTAAAAATTTCCAGTGTTCTTCTTCTAATTATTACATATCATTAGTATATATACAAGGTGTATATTTATACCAATATATTTTTATTACATTTAAAAAGAACAGCAATGATCTTCAGATGTTCTCTACACATACACATACTAGAAAACTAGTACCATCAAAATGTGCCCCCCTAGAAATCATTCAAAACCGTGTTAAACATTTTTTGTTACATTTAATAATAAAGATAACTACTAAATGGTAGTATTTAGTGACCCACCCTGTATATATACTACCTAGACATTAATACATTAAACCTTTGCACTCAAGGGGTAACTTCCAGTTACCGTTTGTTGTAATACCTAAAAAAGTAAATAACGAATATGAGGCAATAACTAAACTAGAAGTAACTACACGTGAAATATTGAAATGAAATACACGTAGTTCCCCTATTTCATTTTACCATAAATGGTATCAGCGAGTTCAGAAAAATATAAGAAAAGCTTCGAATTGTTATATCTTTATAGCACAAATATCTTCGAGCGCAAAGGGTTAATCTTTCAGTTCTCCAACATTATATAATCTATACTCCCCTCAGAAAGCAGTAAAGAAACTATTATAACTCAACTTCTTGGCAACCAAATGATAGAAACAAACGGAATTAACTCGAAACATCGATCAGTCGAATCCACAAGCGACTTAAAGATCAAGATACCTAGAGAGAGCTGCAACTGGAACAGTGTCTAAGCTATTTGTAGCCAACGAGAGTACCCTCAGATTCCCTGCGAATTCATAAAAGTCGTCCCCAGATATGTTCCTTATATCGTTATTAGCAAGAAACAAGTAAGATAACTTCTTCAATCGACTAACAGCTCCAGGAACATTGGGTAGGTCGTTGTTGTCCAGATTCAGGTACTCCAACATGTTCTCGAGTCCACGAAAGGCATTATCGTCGACGTTCTTGATGGAATTCGAGGACAAATAAATCCTTTCGGACTTTAAACGATCAAAAATGCCGGCTGGTAACGATGCTAACTTGTTGCTGTCCAAGTTGAAGTTCTTGATCCTCAAGGTTCGATTAGTCAGACTGGGTGTACGGATACATTCGATGGAATTTTCACTGACGTCGATCAAATCGAGATCTGAACTCTGAAAATCAGGCAGTTCGAGAGTCTTCAGATCGTTTCCTCTTAGATACAACCACTTGAGATGTTTTAACGATCTCAGAGAGGATGGAAAGGATTTCAGAAGGTTGCTATTCAAGCTTAGAGTGTGTATGTTGGGAGGTAGACTGCTTTCTGAAAGTTCCTCGATGTTGTTGTTGTCGAGATTCAACCAGCCTACAGACTCGAACGTAGTGAATATTTTTGGTAACTCGATGATTGAATTGTCACCAAAGAAGGCGTCCGTTAGTGTGTCTTTCAAGTGTCCCCAGTCACCGTCCAGTGACGTTAAGTGATTGCTGAAATTTGAACAAATTTTTTTAATTTATTCGAGTTCATACATTAATTTTTAAGTTGTTAATCATCCTCAAGATATCTTAATTAAGTTTATACGATAAAATTCACAATTTGAGTTTTCGAGATTTTTTTAAATAGGTTATGTATGGCACACATACATACGTGTCTTTAGATCTCGATTAAATTATCGATAAGATAATTTAATACACTCGTGCATGAAAGTATTTGAAGGATTATGTATTTCATGCAGCAAGAAGGAACTCTTGAAATTATATGAATAAACTTGGAAAATAATTCAACAATTCACGTAGTATCGGTGAATTATAAAAATATTTCATAAAAAAAGGTATAATATTAGTGAAAAGTATCACAAATTAAAAAAGAAGAAGTTCTACTATGACGTTGATTCATCTTTTGTTGCTTATTACAACCTTAAGACGATTTCCCAGTTAACTCACTAGCGCCACCACGGCCCATATATCCAATATATTGTACTTATCTAAATATCGTACGAATATCGTTGAATTCTTTTCCAATTTTACCAATATAATCTTGGGATTTTCTCCTTACTGCATTTACCATATCCCTTTAAAGATGTCACTTTAACGTACATATTTAAAACTGTTAAACGTAAAAAACGTAAATATTTGAAAATACTTTCATGTATGAGTATATGTTAGTAATTTTATTTACGTTAACTAAAATCGTTTCCAAATTGAATTTCTTATATACATATATACCTGTGCATGTTGAGCCAGTTTAGTTTCCTTAGGTTACGAAAGACCTTAAATGGCACGTCCTCCAAGGCATTATAGCTGAGGTCCAACGAACGTAAACTGTCAGCGATACCTCTAATAAGAAACACATTTAAGATTCAAAACACTCTAGTAATTTTTTCTGTCTTAAGGAAAAATTGTAAAAATGCGGGTTATTGCAATTAAGAGATTTCATAAACTCTTAAGAAAATGCTCTTTATTTTAGGCGAGAAATATATGCATACAAAATTATATTCGTATAATTCAAAAATATACTTTCCTAAACAAAGAATTAGATACACACTTGGAAGTAATTAATAAATCTTATGGCTTTTAGTCATTTTCAATTACATTTTTGTAACACGATAAATGTGCCGGTGATTATGGGAGTGGCCTAAGTCACTAATGGTTCGTTTCGAAATAGTAAAAATTTCGAATATCAAACGCGTCATAAATTGAAAAATGAATTATGAAACTTTTCCTAACGATTTCGATGTTTCGTTATTTTGCCAAAAAATGGCTATATTTATTGTAATATTGTCGAAGGCGATACAAAATAAGTGATAAAAGCATTTCTTTTGGATTTTTGACTTGGACCACATAATTTAATTAAAACAAAATTAGTATAATTATACACAGTTCAAAAATCAGATCACATAAAATTTCGAAAAAGTCTTTGCGAAGTCGAGCTTATAAAATAAAGCAAAAGCATGCAAACATCGAGAGTGTGTAATTTCAAAGATTATACTAACTTACGAAAGGGATAAATCGCCAATGTTGGACAATCGATTGCTCATCAACCCCAGAGCTTTGACACCAACCGAACTCGTTAGCGCGTCATTGTCCAGTGTTTGCATTCCAGATCCAACTACATCCAGCTGAGACACGTAACTCACCGAGACATCTGTTATTAAGTACAATGTTTTTATAGTAGATACTACATATGAAATTAAAAAGAGGTAAATAACTCTATAATATAAATTAAAATAATATAAATATATTATATAATAAATATAATTAATATTAATTATTACAAAATAATATAAATTGCTAAATATTATTTTCATGCCAGAACTACCTAAAGGGTCAAAACATTTTTGATTTAATTTTGCAATTATTGAAAATATGCAGTTCCTTTTAACAAAATTAATATTGATTTTTATTCGCATAGGAACGTGACTATAGATTCTTGCTTGTCTTCATTTATTTGTAATTATTATTATCTATCTATCTATCTATATATATATATTATATTTAAGTATTTCTAAAATTAGTAAGTAGATACATCATTGTTTATTTGTAATTCACTTTTCCTTTTATAACGTAGCAACGAAGAAAGAAAACTCGCATAATTTTATTTTAATACAAAATTTTTTTTTAATAGCTTTTTAAATTAAATTTAAAATAGGATGCAAATTACATACATATATAGAAGATAGTTCTAATATTGATTTTCTGCAATCGATTTTTCCCATAAAGCGAGGTCATGTACCGAAGTGTTAAATATTTATAAAACATTGAGTGTAAAATGTTTTTTTCAACATATAATAATTTCTGAGTTTGTTAAAAAGCAATAACAATTATTTGAAAATATTCTACCGAGTAAAAGTAAAAATATTTTCATTTGGGTGACGACATTTGACTACAATTAAAAATAATAATATATTTTTGGATAACCTAACTCTTACCTGGAAACCTAGCAAAAGGTATTCCCAGGCAGCTAATATCCATCTTCGTGAAATCCTCGTCGTCTTGAAACCAGCACGTACACATCGTGTTGAACGTGCATGGCATATTATCACATTCTATCATACTCAGTGTAGAAAAGATAAAAAATATCTTGATGCACATGTGATCTACCTTTAACAGCATCTATGTCCATTAAACAGATAAAATAATAAACAAAATAAGATTCTTATATAATTCAACATGCATTAAGAAATATATATTTCCTCTTCTTTCCTTTTTTTAATATAAATAAATCAAAGGCTGTAACCAAGATCGAATGCTTTATTTGAATGCACTTCAATTCCTATCATGCACTGTGATCAATTTCAATACTCTATCGATAACGTTGCGAGTGACACGGAAATGATAAAGGGACATTATATATAATACTCTGTATATTATACTGTACATAATACCCCTGCTATGATAAAAATACACGCAATGTTAGGTCTATTATACCATCTGTGGTACTATCTACTTAATTAAAACAAAGAAATATGTTTTTCAAGCCTGTTCCATACTCTTACCTTCTCTACTAGTCATAAAATCTCGGAACAAAATTAACAAATTATTTTCATTCTTAACCATAACAATCCTCAAACTGAAAAAAATATCCTTTTTTAAAATTATGTAAAACCAATTTTAAAAAATAAAGTCGAACTACAAAAATATGAACATACATGGGCAAGAAAAATGTGATTGAAAACCAAAAGTGAATCAAACCTTGAACTTCGTAAGTAAATATACGAGTAAATAAATATCCAAAATGGAACAGTGTGAAAGATGTACCTTTTTGGATGTGAATTTTCAGCAGTTCAGTGAAACCATCGTTTATTGGACCAGTTCCAGTGTTCAACTGACCATTTTAGAACGAATTAAGAGTTTTCATCAGTCTTCGCATTCTGTTCTTCAGGTTCGAACTCGAGGAAAGTGGCGAGAAAACAACAGAATGCGAACTCGAGACGTGTGATACTGAAACGGCGCAAGTACAGAGCCGAAGGAAGCGAGGGCGCATGTTCTTCTAGCTCTATGGATCGAAACGGAGACCAAAACAAAGCTAAAGCTTCGTCCAGATTGTTGCGATCAATTTTGTAAAGTGAACTCGTGGCACATCGAAGACATTGTTCTTCGTTCTTGTAATTTCATCGAGTTTAAAGGGAAATAGAAGATTCTAAAGAGAATAGAACATGCTACTTCGCTTTTAATCGTGTAATAAACGATATCACATCGACGATAAGTGTATGGTACAATTATAATAGACCTGGACGAAATTTATTTCAAATCATAATATTAATTTAATTATTATTCGACAAATAGTGTGTTCCAATTGATATAACACATTTTTATTTGGCTAATTAAATAATAAATGGAAAAATTCGTTATTTCGGAACATAAGTTTCATTTTTCGATTGAAAATTTGTGTTTGAAATAACATTTGGAATAATGTGTAGCAACAATTGCAGTCATAGTGAGAGTAAGAAACAGTAATGATAAACATACGAAGCTAGATATTAAAGAACCAATTATTTTCAACGAAATCAAATGGGAAATAAATCATTTCGTGAAATGAAAAGTGTATCCATCAATTATAAATACATTAGGTTGTTTTTCGTGTGAAGAGTTTGACTTAATTTAAAAGCAGATTCTTTTTCAAATCATTTTGAAATATAAAATATAATTTATATTAATTTATTTTATTTTATTTTACTTTATTTTTATTTTATATTTATTAATTTGTATATACTTATAAAAATATTATTAAATATATTAAATATATGAATTACAAGAAACAATTAAGTATTAAATTAAAATTACATTTTGAAATACTTAATATCGATATATTTCTTTTTATTCCATTAAATTTATTTTACATGGAAGAGAATTGCAGGACTGGGGGGGAGCAGATCATTTAAATATTACAAATCTTAGATAATAAAATTATTCTTGCTTATAAATTATCCCAAGGAGATATTTCTCCACACAGAATATGACCTAAAGAACAACTATTAGAATTTTAATAAATATACAAAATGCTTTTATTAAAACAAAAATTTGTTGTATTGTCTAGAAACAGTAATGCTGTTCAGGAAAATTTGTCTGAAATTTGTTACTATATCACTGTAGTTCTTATTATATATTTATATATAACATTCAATTATCAATAGAAAATAATCGAGTCATCAACGCTTTATTTTGAGTTTATGAAAACAATAATAGATTTTTTTAAATTAATTTTATAGTTCCTGTAATTTTTATACATCACGATCCAAATAAATTACTCTTTCTTCTTCTTTTTATTTTCATAATGTTTTATTTTGCTCTCCAAGCTCTCTATAAAAATAATTCCAATTTTAATATTATTTCCGCCGAGACTTAAGAAAATTATCGTATTTAGATACTAACCACAAGTGGGCCGCTTCATTAAACGTTGATACACTTTACTTTGTACACCAAGTAATAAGCAATCACTCTGGAAAGCCATATCTTTGCAATCTATTGAAGCCTCCAAATCCGATAACATATTTTCAATCATGACCGATCTGTTAAAAATGAGGTTATTAATCAAAAGCACTATTATATATTTATTTGTACCATGTAGAGATATAGCTTAAGATTTAAACAATATTTAAAGTATTCAGAAATTGATGAGACTATTATACAAATTCATATCAGTGTTATTAAAATTGCTATTATTTAAATTTACATAATTGATATTGACAATATTATTATAAGGATTTAAAAATTCAGAATTTTATGAAAATTATAATTATAGAAATTTGCACGAATATTATTAAAATCATTAGTATTTAAATTCATGCAACTGTTATAAAAAGTGTTATTATTTAAATTCATGTAATTATACAGTCTATTACAAAAAATATTTTAACAATTTCTAGAGTCCATATTTTAAGAAAATGTTGAATCAGCAACAAATATATGTTACATTGTACTATCATACATGGTATTTCATTATTTTTTAATTTACTAATTTATAATTTACAATTTACAAATTCTTGCGATAAATTATAACGAAAAATTCATATCGTCTGCTAAACACACTTTGTATACTTTACATTTTTTTTAAGATATAGAAAAAAAAAGGACATAAAGAAAAATTACGATTTCCGAAAAGAAAAGCGCAATATTTTAAATATAAATAAAACATCGAGAAATTCATTACATTTGAATTATTACGTAAAAATTGATTTTTAATACTTAATTTTGTCCTAAAGTTCTATCTTCTAATGTGTAGTACAAAAAAGTAACTTAAGATAATTATATTTCTTTATGAATTTCATCATTGTATGAACTAAAAAATAAAAATTGTAAATGATGCAAATACTAAAAGTTAAATTCAATATAAACAAAAAACATATGTTGAGAGAGTACATGCATACCTTTAGTTAAAAACTCAATTCTGTTTTATTTATTTACTTAATTTTATATAATATATAAAATATTTTATAAAAGGTAAAAAAAGATAACGAAAATTGACGAAGTTATAGTTAAAATAATTATGAAAGCAAATTTATCGGTAAGTTGAATAAATATCATTATACGAATTTTTAGTTCATTTTTCACAAAATAACTTTTTAGTAAAGAATAAAATATATATTTCATTAGAATTATATTTACTTTACTGTATTCAAAGTCCAATCTCTTTGTAAAAGTTTGATTGTGTATATTAATTCATCTTTATCAATGTACCACTCCTTAGCATCATATTCACAATACCAAAGATTTAATGGTGCTTCATGAGCAAGATTATATTGTGGTTTCCTAGGACATTTTTCAATATCTAAAAGTTCTAAAATAATTTCAGGTTCTTCTTTTTCTTGTCCAATAAGTAACAAAATGCCCATTAAGCAACGAATTTGATGCCATAAAAATGCTTGGCTTGATATAATTAATTGACATATATCATATTCTATAAATAAATAATTACATATAACATTATACCATTATATAAGCAAATGTAAACAAATGTAAATATATAAGCGAACTAAATAAATAAATCATTATATAACCTCCCAATGAAGTAAATTATCAGTAAGACACACATTTAAATAAAACTGATTTTAAAATATATAAATAAATACAATTTTATTAGTAAATATAATTAATTCAGATAAAATAGTTACCTAAGACTTTTCTAAAATTTTCACGATACATACATACTTCTGCATTAATAACTTTTCTTTCATAATTAGTAACACCATTGGCAACATCCATTTTACAAATATTTCGAAAGTCATGATCTCCTATAATATATTTAATAGCTTTATTCATAGCATCTATATTCAAATTTCCTCTTGGAAAAAAGTACTTGTAGGTTCGAAATTTACAATTAAATCTTGCTGAAAAATCATTAGGTACTGGGCACCACGCAATGCATCTTATATTAGAAGGAAGCAGCCTATTTAATATTTTACAATATGGAAGTTCATTTTCTAATTTACATTGTTCCGTTGGATTTAATTTACTTCTTATATCTAAGGAAATCACTTGTGAAAATGAACTAACACCTTTGTCTGTCCTTCCACATCTATGATAATTTGATGTCTCACGTGATTCTATACAACAGCTTTTAATTAATGCTTCAAATAAATGCTGTTCTATTGTATTATCAATGCTTTCTTGTACAACAAAACCATTATAATTCCATCCAAGATAATAAAATTTTAAAAGTATATGTCTTTTATTGCATCTAAAATTCAAGTAGTTTATATTATAATAATGTTAAGATTACAATATCTTTTTCTTTAGTTAATTAAATATATTTACATACTTTGAGAAATCAAATAATTTTTGTGATGTACACACAGTATCTTTCTTCTTTGCCTTTTCATTTCCTTTACTAGCTACTAATTTTAATTCCTTGTTTTCCTCTTTCAATTTTATTATTTTCTCTATTAATTCCTATTAAAAATATTATTCGTAAAATATTTATAAAATATAATATTAATGTTCCTTTTTATTAGTAATAAATAAGAAATTAAAAAATTTGTAGTACTTGTATATGTAAAAATATTAAAAAAATAATTGTATAGTATAGTAAAAGTAAATTTATGATAGACAAGTCAATTTTTGTATTATTTAATATCATTTTATTTGAAAAATAACATTAATTTAATTTCAGATTGAATGTTTTCTATCATCTTAAAATAATGGTGCATATTATATTACTTTTCAATAACAAAAATTATATATCCTGTATCATTATTACCTAGGATTTACATACGTATTACAATATATGTGTAAAATACATAAAAATCAAAGTACAAATTGAAAATTCAAAGTTATGTCATTCCTAAATAAAATTTAAATTAAATGTTTATATTATACACATTTTTCCATATGCAGTTGAGTGATGTACTTAATTTTGTATCGAATGAGTTTATTTTATAATATAACTAGACTAAATATTGCATATTTACCGATTTACTAAGCAGTTGAAGTTCTTCTTTCTCCAAGGTTTCATGTTCGTTACTTTTATACATAGTTAATATACTTTTATGTTTTTCTATAATAATATAACAAATTTTATGAATCAATATCAAGGATTATTGAAAAATTTACATTCAATCAGATTGTTATAATCATAAATGTTAATATACTTAAAAAAATACTTGCTAAAGAATACAAGTCATATTGTCTATAACAATTTATTGTATTTATATTACATGCACTTAAAATAATCACAATTGAAAATATATTTAAAATACAAGTCAAAATATTTATTATAAAGAGAAAATATTATATAACGGTAAAATGATAGAAAAGTATGTTATAACTAAATTTAATGCAACAATTTATAACCTTAATTAAAAAGATGAAGTATAACCTTAAATGAAATGATAAAACACATTAAAGAAAAATACTGAAATTCGATTTATCGGATACCAACACATTTATTTATAATAAAATATGCTAAGCATATCAATATAAGTAATATGTAATAAGTTCTAACATCTAATAAATCTCACAACATAAACGACTGTCAAATTGAACTGTGCACAAAGGAATTTTAATGGTTAACTTTATTCTTTATAAATGAATCATTATTATAACTAGAATTAAAGAATTTGTTTCTGTTTATAGAATTTTTAATTGTTAAATCCATTTGACCTTAATTATTTAATCAAGGTACTGCAATATACTATTAATCACTTGTGCATGTAAGTAAACAATATATATGTATTTATATTTTATACTATGTTTTATGTGTGCATTCTTAAATTTATACTGAATGCAATTATTTTAATATCCTTTATGTTGTATTACATAATACTTATTCGATACATCAAAATAATTTCAGAACATCTTATTTAAATTCTTCACCTATTCTGCTACATATTGATATACTTTATAAAAGAATAATATTCTAGTATATTAAATACTGACAATACAAGATTACATTCAAGAAAAAAGATAATTTTTAATCATTCATTCAACCATTATGATTTCCTGTATATTATACTTACATTTACTTACATTTATTATCCATTTCTTAATTTTAATAAACCATTTTTACTAATTGTATTTTTATAATGTTTAAACTTTTCCTATAATACAAACATTATTTATTGTTAATAGTATTATAAAAATAAATATTCAAAATCTAATTATGTACTACAAATTTTAAAGACTAGATATTGTTCATTAAACAATGTTGCGTTTGACAGAATTATTAATGAATAATATTAAAATATATTAATATTCTCCTTTATTATATCTACACAACATCAAACTAAAAAATTAGTAAATTCTTCAACTAAACTAAAGCATTCAAAATTTCTTTAACATAATCTTGGTAACATTTGAGTAGTATATTATTTCAATAATACTGTTCAATACAAATTTTAATCTATAACATCCATTAGGTAATTCTTGTAGTGTTTACTTTTTTGAAAATGAATCCATAAGTGAAATTGCTTTATCACTCTCGGTTTTTGAAAGTTATAGGTTTATGTAAAAATGCACGATTTTAGGATAAAATGAACTGAAAACTATATAAAAAGTGAGAACGCTAGGCGATTCATTATTGTCTTACAAGTTAGGTAAGAAAATCTCTAGTTTATTAATATCTATAATTATAATTATTTGTGCTTCTGAATAATTATAATTAGTCACCAAATTTAAAAATGAGCCGCCAAGCGTACTTTCTGTGCATATTCTTGTATTTTTACAGAAAATTTTTCATCTGACAGGAATTTACTATACAACAACGTATTCTGTAGGTTTTTCTGAAGAAGAAATTATTCGAAAACAGTATTAACATGATTTTGAATGTTTACAGGATGGTAAAATATATATAGGCAACACGAAAACAAGGTTTTGCCGCCACGGCAGTCATTGTTCGTACAACTATTGGGTGTCTTAAAATTCGCGCAAAAACTAATTTTGATAGAAAACAGGTTTTTAATTAAAAATTGTAAATATTGCTTAAGAATGAAGACGCGTTGTTCTTTTGTGCTGAACTGTCAGCTGTCACGCTCTTTTCTTTTCGTTAGCAACTTTATCACACAAATGGCGTAAAATTCAAATCTGGCATGATCTTTGGAACATCCTAACTCCATCAGGGCCGTAGTTAGGCGCAATCGACACCAAAATCATCGTCTAGTAGATCTTATTTCTTATATGTATAACATGCAAATGTTGTCATGTACTTTTTTATATAATTGCAAAATTATAAGACATTTCTTTAAATCATTTGTAACTTGAAACAATTTTGTTATTCGATACATAAGTACCAATGACGTTTTAATATAAAGTTGTCAAAAAGTAAACTCCTACCTAACTTTTAAGATAAGGATAAATCTTCTAATCTTTTTACCTTTTCGTGTAATACTTCATCTTACAAGGAGAGTGCAAGTCCTTCGGGTCACCGATTTAGTTGAAACTTTGCAGGTTTGTAGATATCGTCGATTAAAGTTTTATTACTTCCGTAATTATATATTTATTTCAAATACATTTCAACTTAAGTTGTAGCGTAACGGTGACGATCTGCTATAATACGATATTGCTAAAATTGAGGACTTGGGGTTCGATTCCTGTGCATAATTTTTTCAATATATTTTTTATTTTGTATTCATCTTTCGTTTATGAAACCATTGTAAATACACAATTATAAACTAGAACAAAAGTAATATGTGAAGACACCCCAGAATATTGTTTATATAATGCGTGCATGAAGGTTATAAATTGATTACGCAGAAGATAGTAATTAATGAAAGACCAATGGCGTCTTCGACAATAATTCAAACACTTCGTAGAATAATCATTAATAATTAATTAATTAAGGACAAATTTATATCGAAAAATATATTGGAAAGTTCTTACATTGAAAATATAAAAGTTAATAATATAATATAAAAACGCGATTGTTCTTAAGTATCGACTAGCCTACGCGACGTACTTCCCGTGTACTCGACTACTCCACGCCTCGTAAGTCATTCTCACGACTCGTCTCCGACTCTCATTCTGCCACTGTCAATCTCATCATGCATCGGGATCTCTGGTGGCCCTCGGGCTGGTGAGGCATCTGGAGTAATACGAGAGTCCGTCGACCTTAGTCGTCCTGGGTGCCAATCCGTGCACACGACCGGGGGATGGGCCTTGCAGTCGAAATTATTGCAAGAGCGTGCCTGCCTGCCTCTCTAGCATTTGGCAGTTATGTGGTTATGTTTGCATAGAGCCGAGGTATGGAGCATGCGTGTGATTCTGACTGTTAGGCCTCGCATAGGACTCTCGGATTATGTCTCAAGCTAAGAGCTACGCACCAGTTGAAATATTGGTTATAAGCTAGTTTAAAGTTAGTTATAAGTTAGTTATTAGTTGGTTATAAATTAGTCATTAATTAATTATAAATTAGCAGTTAGTAATAAGTTTAAAATGTCTTCCATATATTGTATAGGTTATCGTCTGGTTGACAGTATCCTTTGTGTGGATATGAATACAGAGTGCATGGGAACGCGTAGCCCGTTCATCAAAAATGAGTAAGTAGCAATAAACAGCAGCCTCGGGTTTGGCTTGTGCGTTTAGGCTAATATCCAGAGTGTGTGTGAAAGGACAAGTGACCGCATGCAGAAATAATAAATAAATCGGCACGTGCAACAGAAAAAAATTGGACTCATGGAATATCACGAGCATAGAGCCAAAAGAGGCCAAGAATTATATTTTATAGCAAGAAAAAATTGAAGCAGCAATACAAATATGTAAGTTATGATATGTCTATTGGATTCTAGGATGGCTCACTATATGACATACAAGATAGAAATAAAGATTCAGGAAATGAAGATAGGCACACAAAAAGGAATAAAATTAATTTAGATGATGGCCTCTTATAACAACTAAATATAGAGAATATAGCGAGATTGAAAGGCATGTTGTATTCTTGATCTAAATAAATACTAATATCAGTGGTCAAAGTTAATGATAATCGCCAATGTGTTAAATTTCAGAATGATGGAGCTGAGGTACATAAAGAAATGAGAGAGGATTGAATGAGGGCAAAAAGAAGAGGAAATGCATATTACATTGCATCAAGAAACAAAAAAGAGGCAGCATATGTATCAAGGGAAAAAGATAATAGGTAATAATTATAAAAGTTAAAGATAAATTGAATATAGAGTGTAAATGTTGTATTAAGGCACAAATGTATAGAAATATCTATAGGAACTTGGAAACTATAAAAGCAGCAGTAATAATGGGGCTGTGGCATGTGGAATTGATTGGGCCAATAAAGACAACGTTAAAAGGAGGTAAAAGGTACGTCTTTCCTGCTGCTGGTTATTAGAAAAAAGAACCATTTGGTTGACTGATTTGTAAATGATTAAAGATTTAATACGAAATATTACTGACTAATGTTTTTTTTTATCACAGGAGACTGACAAACATGAGTAGTATTTATATGCAAGAGCCAGCCACTAATTGTAAGGGTATAGTAATAAGTATTAATTGGCAAAGTTCGAAAATTTGCGTCACGCAGGCTAGTCGGTATTTAAGAACAATCGCGATTATCGCAAGAACAGTTATGTTCTATTTGGTAAACGGCAGGGATAAGAGAGGAAAAATATGAATTGTATATATTCGCTCCAAGTTAGGTAGTTTACCTTTGTACAGGCAGCGCGCACATGATATACTTAGTTTAGAGATCTATCTTATAATTACTTAGGTCTAAACGCATGCATCCCGCGTCGTCCAACAATGACGTTGATGATAAATGAAATCTTGAAAAATCTTGAAAAATTTTGAAGAATCTGAAAACCTGAAAACTACAAAAGAAATTATATAAACCTGAAATGAAATGGATTAGTAACAGGAAAGACAATAAAAGCGAAACGAATATGAACTACAATGATAAATTAAATGGAATAAACAATCTAACGATGAAGCATGAAGAACCCAACGATGAGACATAAACTACCCAACGATGAGATATGAACAACCCAACGATGGGACATAAACAATTTAACAATAAGATATTCGAATATTATCC